CTACGATGAATTTTATTTGTTGTAAAGATCAAAGCTACATAATCTGTGCTAACGAAACCCGATTTTTAACGATATGAGCCCAAGACTTAAGGCTTACCGTAAAATTTATTGGCTTAGTTAGTGTGTTCATTTTTTCTTTCAATACCTGTTATTTAACACTGGTGATTTATTGAGATTATGAACATGCTTTGCTTAATTAGTACTTCTGTAATGACCGAAACAGTAACCATTCTATAACTATTTTAGAATACATCTTTAGTCAGACATCATCATGTGACTTTTTCTTAATGTTCTGCATGTAGTTATGACATTCTTGTTACTTGAATTTCGAAACGTAGACTTTTTTTTTGTTGAATTTCGAGCAAAGCTACTCGAGGGCTATCTGCACTAGCCATCCCTAATTTAGAAGTGATAGACTAGAGAGAAGGCAACTGGTCAACACCACCCACTGTCAACTCTTGGGGTATTCTTTACCAACGAAAAGTGGAATTGACCGTCACATTTAAACGCATCTAGTGTAATACCATGACGGTTTCTTTGCGCCAATTTCAACAGTCTAATCACACAGAAATTCATAGGTGTTGCATCCGGTGACTTGACGGATATGTCTTCATATAGAGTAGCATGAATACCAGTTTCACTCTATAGCTGTTTGAAGTATACTACAGATGAACGGGAATTTTGTGCAAGCAATTTGTATCACTTTTCCAGACAGAAATCCTTCTTGGATTTGTTGTTCCCTGTTGTATTGAGTATGTGGACGGCTTTTGCCCCTAACTTTTGTATTGGTGGATTCTCACCCCTTACAAAACGCCGCAATTAGCTTACCACGGCTGGAGTACGACTTGTTGTATGTCTCTTTCTGGATAATACTGGTGCCCCAAGTTGATTCACATTCCTTGTTTTTTCAGTGCCATCAAGTACAAAAGATATCCCCATTTTGAAAAATCTAAATCTCCGACCTACACATAACTTTATCATTTGGATGTATGAATATTTTTTAGCGAAAAGGGATTTTACATGCCTTTCCCAAAAGCCATCAATTTTTAGTGATATCATACTACCTACGAAATGCCAAAATGAAGTTCTGATACATTCCATTTCACCGCGACTTATATTTGCATATTTCGTTTTGTTGTAACATACTCAATCCCCTATAAATAGGTTTGTGTATCATATTTTCTATTTACCTGAGCACATGTATAACATATCTATAAACAATTAATCTTCCAATGCAGAAAAGTGTAATTCTAATAAAATCAGATATGACAATAAGGCTCCAGTATAGAAGCAGAAACGTCATTTCATTTTCTGTCAACAGACGGTTGCAGTATATCAAATTCCTCAGACCTACTATGTCTACTCTGCCTGAAGTTCCACTGAAACAACGATAAAACCTAAAACACTGCATAGAAATGACCAAAATCACCGTGAAGAAAAGAGAAATAAGTTATCAACATTTTGACCAAATGACTTTTATTATAGCCCATTAAATCGTCTTTAAAATTTATTAATTTTTATTCTTAAATGTTGCCACTCTTTCTTTATGGTTTAGTTTAAGTATGGTTACCCCAGGGGCCAATTTTCACATTCTAAGCATATATTAAGCCGCATAAACCTAAATAAGTCAATCATAGCTGTGCCACTTATGGTTTCCTTTGCCTTACATTGCTTTGGGATAGATTGAAAGCCGAAGAGCCAATCATGCAGCGAAACCTGCGATTCCAAACAAGTGTTACTGAATCAGTCCCGTTTCATTATAATGAAAATATTCAACAATGCGTATGATGACAATATTACAATTTAGTTCTGTTTTGGCGTCATTTGGTAGCAAATGCTTTTTGTTTTGGTCTCTTTTTAATTTTGGTTCCTTCCTCTACCGATTTATAGCTATTCAAACTTTGACTAAGTTATGATGCTATAAAAGATTTATTGTATCCAATGTCAATTTTTGTGAACATGTATGTTCTGTTCCATCCAATTTCCTATCTGATATTGTTTTTTATAATTTTCAAGAAACTGGTAAGGAGTAAGGACAAGGGTTAATTGTTTATAAAAATTGGAATTTGGCTTACAAAAGACAACTATTTACTGTGGAATAGTTGCCAGGTCTGGTAACTTAGAGGATCATCTAATTATTTATTAATTAGAAGCTAGTTACATACAGAAAAGGTTATTCTTCATTTAGACTGCTAATCTACTGCCATCTTCAGATAGTGATCAGGGTTCAAACCTGGGTCTTCTTAATAGAAAGGATGGTGTGCTTCCCACTCCTTCAGACTAATCAACTTTTAATCTAATTCTTTTATTACTATTCCAACTTATTGTATGATCTTTTCTAGCCTGATGGACTATTGTAGATGAGTAATACCAAGTCTTGTACGTCTATTATGCTCTTGACTTCTCACTTTTATTGGTCTATTTATTTCTCAAGTGATTTGGAGTTCATATTCACAAGTGGTGATGTACATGATGTTTTAGGTGGTCTGGTGAGTATTACCTGCGATCCTATGTGTTTTGATTTTTCAATACTAAACTGACTTTGTATAGTTTGCATATTCTCGTTTTCAGAAAGACCTTTGATACATAGAAATGTGGCTGTGTGTGTGTTATTTTATGCTGCTTATTATTGGCATTTATCTTCTTTATCAAGTGTTCTTGTGGACTATAGTGACGTCTTTTTCTTCTTTTTTCTTGGCACCTTCTTTATTTCAAATGTTAAAAATTCTTGAAAATAGGCAGTGTATGACACCCTCTTTACACTGTTGGATTGGTTTGATCTTTAGTTTAATTGGGGTATTTACTAATATCTGTGAATTCCTGTTATATACAAGTTATGTCTTGGTAACCATCATATCTAGGAATGGGAGTTTCTTGTTTTATTCTATTTCTATTGTGCATGTTGTCTTGTTCCGGCAATTCATGAATTCTTGTTTTTAGTGTGTAGCCTTATTATGAGTGTATTGTCAAAATATCTCAGCCAAATTCTGGGATTTATAGTATTCATTTGAAGGGTGTTATCCTTGAAGTGGGCTTACCCCTATCAAATAAATTCAAAGAGTGATGAAACTTACACCTTATACTCTTATCCTTTAGAATGAAGTATAGTTTACAAATTATTAATAAAATATATTTATGCTTTGAATTTTAACACTGCTACACAATAAAAAACAACAACTTAACATTTATATTTGTATCCTATTTTATACTGTTAGCAGGGCTACTCTTAATAAGCTATACTATAATACAAAACATCAAGAGCAGCATGACGAAGTCTTCGTAATAAAACTTAAACTTTGGCTCTTTACATCTGTGTTGATAATTATAGGCTTTCTATAACATATAATGGATAAAATGTAAACTCTCATATCTGTACATACAAATAAATATGTATACCAAGCAACAAAGCACAAGTAAACAGTCTCATTCCATATTAGCTTTAGGACACCAAGCAGTAGCTGATTTTAAGTTGAACCCGAGCATATACACTAAGCAATCTTTTGGTAAGGTGGTAAATATGTAATGCAAAACACATCTGCTGACCTGTTCTGAGCATCTGTCCAATTGAATCATGCTAATATATAATATCTATCACAATGACATTTACTAAATATGGTGAGGAGAGTGGAGAAGCACAAAAAGCATTACCATTGATATTCATAATTGAATTTTATAATTAAAAAAAAGTGATTTGCATTAACTTGTATTCAATCTGATCTCAATTTTTACTTCAGTGATTATAGCTCCATAAGGCAGTTACCATTTTTAAAGTTTTATAGCTTAGTTGGGAGAAAAAAAAAGCATTTAAGGTCCTCAGCCAACTTCTGACTTCATAGATAGTGTGCCACCTTTAAAAATTCTGTAGCTTAACTTGGAGGTATAAAAAGCATTAAGGTTCTTAACCAAGTGCTACAATCAATGAAGCAACTGAGGTGTGATGTCAGACTTTATCAACTTTATTAACTTACTTTCAAGCACTGTTCACAGATCTTCCTTGGAAACATAACTTCAAAAATATTACACGAGCTCCAAAATAATTTCAAAATAGAGTATAAAATATTAAGTGATTTATATTCTTCAATGAAAAAAAAAAACTCATAAAAATATTTTGACAAATCACAATAAATGATAAACATTATCTTAAAACAAGAAAAATTCTCAAAAAAAAAAGAAAACTTTCTCAAAAGAATCTTTCAGAAATAAGAAAATGTAATACAATATAAACTGCATAAATTTTGAAATTCTCATCATTTATATGATGATATATATATATTTTATATACTCAAAAGCTCCCTACTTTTAAAAGCAGCAACTTTCTCAACATGAAATTATGAAAAATATCAAATCATATTTTGATATCAGCATTTTGGGCAACATGTAATTAAAAAAAAGTTCTCACACAATCCAAGCCATAACAACATGTCTAATTGTTATTCATGATAATTTTAGTCAGTGCTTACAAGATTAACTAATGTTAAACATTTTAATAGTTGTAGATTTAAGTTTAAATGGTCTTTCATTATTTTTTCAAATGACAGTAAAAAATACTGAACATAGCTCATTTAATTAAGATTCCAACAACAAGAATAACATGCAAGAAACAACCTATTGCATGTTATTTCTGCTGTTGGAATATTAATTAAATAAGCTATGTTCAGTATATTTTTTAATGTCATTTGATTTTATCTAATGTTTCATACCAAAGTATACAATATTCATTTACAACTAAATACAAATTTACACAATTAAAAATTGTTGTACAGATGCAAGACAAACCATTTAGAATTTTTAGCTCTTTTATGTATTCTTTATAAAAAAAAAACTGCATTGAAAATGGGTAACTGTTCAAACATATTCAAAATCTTTTAACACCCAGTTTCGTTACTATATTTTTCACTATTTTGTTCAACATTTTAAAATTTAACAATATATTTGATAAAATTACAAATTTAACAAAAAACAAGTCATTTTACCTATTAATTATTTCTTTCATACCTCTCATAATATTATAATTATCATCCTACCAAAGTTTAAAAGAGATATTTTTTTTTACTTTACAATAAATGAATCACTCTTTAATGATAATGAATATTTTTGCGAATAAACTCAATGATAAAACTATGTTAGTCTGTAGACAATGCAGTCTACACCTGTTAATTTATAAAAACAGAATAGAACCATGCTAACAACTTTTTCATGATGTACAGACTACTTCTACAGGATTATTTGAGATTAGCACTTGAAATAACATCCTCCGACTTATGTTAGGTGGTAAGTAATGATGCTAAGATTAACACTTCTGAGAATCTTGACAGCAAATTTTAAGCACTACCTTTTAACAAAGGAAAGTAGGAGTTTCTTCTAACTGAAAGATAGTAACTTCTCTAACTTTAGAAGTATCTAATATACTAAAATTTACCAAAAAGTTAATCATTACAGGTGCTCAATACTTAATCGATAATATGTAAATAAGACTACAAGTCAAGCACAAGGCACAGACTTTGAAGTCATAACTTTGTGGGCTAATCACTTACACAGCATACATTTACCACTCGACTTGCATGTAAAATGTTCCATAAAATATACTGTCCAGAGAGTCAATTTATAAGCACCTTCACAAACACAAGATTTAAACCATCAAGAATAAGGTTAAATTCATAATTTAATATAGTAAGAAATCATGTGTTTACCATTAATCATCAACTATTGCATAGAAATTATGGCTAAAAGAAAGTTAACAAAAAATAAATTCAAGAATACTTCACATCTTTTTTTTTTTTTATGAAAATGTAATAAAAACACTAGACACTACAAAAAAAAATTACCGATTGCTTTGATCTAGTTTTACCAATTACTCCTTCCTTGCTTTGAGTCTAGCTAAGTAAACACTAATACATTCGTGCAGTCTAATGAATGAAAGACAAAATCACTTGCCAACAAATGGCATGGGCTTCAACAGTAAACAGACAACAGAATACTTATATAAAAGCTTTTGCAATACTTTAACACTAAGATAAAAAGTATGTTCCTTCAGTTAAGGAACGTGTATTTACTTTAACACTAAGATAAAAAGTATGTTCCTTCAGTTAAGGAACGTGTATTTACTTTAACACTAAGATAAAAAGTATGTTCCTTCAGTTAAGGAACGTGTATTTACTTCAAACAAATGATTTGTGAGGAACAATTAATAATTTCACAATAATGAACACAAAATTGATTAAACCAAACATTATGTTGAAGTGATTATTTTTACATAAAATACAGTAAGGATTCTGTTATCCTTATATACAATACAGTAAGGATCCTAACCTATTTTGCATAACTGGGCCAGATGTTTCTTCAATGTTTACACAGAAATATTTAGAATTTAAGAGCATTTTTCACTTGAATTTTATAATGAAGTTTTTGTCCCACTGCAAATGTTTTTTATTTTCATAATATATCTTGATACTACTACATGTTATAGATTACACATATTTTCACCACTTCAACGTGATATGCTGATGAACACAGTGAATAACTCTTCAATGCCATGCACTGTGATACTTAGAGGTAATTCTATCACCCAGCAAAAATTGGTTATTTGTTCTTAGGAAAAATTCATTCATTCAAAGCTGCCATGTACCTTTACACATAATTCAACCCATCTATGGATGTTTTCACTAATTTTGGGATGGCCAAGCAAGCAGCCCCAGCTCTGGTAGACCCATAAACTTTGACACATAAGCACCAACATTTCAAAGTACTGACCAAGCTAAAACAGGAATTCTATACCAGTGCAAGTGTTGCTACCTCTTTAATGTACGCTTCTCAACTGTGAACTGTTTACCGTATCTTCTGGATAAGTCCTTCACAAACTCCTGTTTTAGAATTTTCAAGCACCTGTAAAGCAAGCTGAGCATTAGAAATAATCAATACTGTTAAAACATTATCATAGCTTTACATATTACACTGACAAACATACATAATAAAATATTTATAAACAATAATTTACAGCGTTAAGTTTTCAAGACACCTTAAGTTTTAGTATTTTTATAAAACATGCTCAATTTATGTTTCAGATTCCTCTACTAATATTTAAGGGCTAATGTCTATTTAAATAAATATTTGCTTGTACTTTATCTTACTGTATTAGATCAGTTGCTCAAAGAAAAATAGCTACTACACTAGTTTGTTATTTATATTGTATGTTTGATTATCTGAGTACACAATGTGCACTAACTTTTTTAACGTAATATTATTTGATATTTGTAAAGTTAAATTTCACAAAACTTGGTTACACTTTTTGAATTTTAGTATAAAAGTAAAAACTATTTCTAACACTTTGTGAACTACTTTACCATTAACTTTGCTAACAATCTTTAAGTTAAAACTAGAAATTATTAGCATCCAATAAAATATGCTATTTGCATGGATAACTAAAAATTACCCCAGTAATGAATATAGGTAATTTCATATACTGTTCTTTATGTTATGACTTATAATGATTAGATTATATTGTTTTTATCAGATACCTTTGCTGTTAGCAATATCTTTAGTAATAATCCCAATATCATTATTAGTTTTGTAAACAAACAGTACTGTAATAAGATTTTATGTACAATAAACATCAAGACTACAAATAGTACTAACTATTCAACATATTGTACAATGTTTGAGAACTGTTGAATTTGACAGGATTTCATTAGTGATCTCAAGACTATTACATTTACACAGAGTGGTCACACTACTAGTGGTCCTTATTAACTAAATACTTAGAATTAAGTATTAAAAGTACAAAATTTCACCCCTTTGCTTACTTTCTGTACTGTGAACTGGATCTAAACTTGGCAATATCAAAACTTGGGGCATGGGGCATGTGCACAATGAATGCATTTGGAAGCACAATGAACTCAAACCTGAGTAAAAAAAAGAAAGAAAACCATTTGAAGGCAATAAAACAAATTACTATTCATGATGTACTTGACTTCAAATCCACAAAAACCACATACTTTAAGGGCACTACAAAAAGCAATCTTAATTTAATCAGATACCACATCTGTAAAATGTACCTCAGGAGAATATAAAATATTATTATTATTCATAATTTTTCATGATATTTTATTCAATGTTGACAAGATTAACTATTTGCATACATGTTAAACATTATCATATGATAAAACAAATCATTATATTGAAGTGATTATCCTTATATGACAATACAGCAAAGATCATGTTACCTTTACATAACAATACAGTAAGGATCCTAACCTACTTTGGACAACTTGATCTAAGAAAAAAACAACAACAACAACAAAAAAAGACTGTTCTTACTTTAATCAGTCCTCAAACCTGGAAAGAATAAAAAAAAACACACTGAGTCAGAACAAAGAGTACTATTCCTACATTACTCAGGAAAACATACCAAGTCACACACACACAAGAAAATAAGTACTGTTCCTGTATTACTAAAAAAACAACAACACATCAACTTAGAACAAAAATTACTGGTTCCCATCCTGAATTGCTCAGAAAAACACCCCAAGTAAGAACAAAGAGTACTGGTTCCTGTCCTGAATTACTCAGAAAAACACACCAAGCCACACACACACACAAGAAAATAAGTACTGTTCCTGTATTACTAAAAAAACAACAACACATAAACTCAGAATAAAGAGTACTGGTTCCCATCCTGAATTGCTCAGAAAAACACACCAAGTAAGAACAAAGAGTACTGGTTCCTGCCCTACATTACTCAGAAAAATACACCAAGTAAGAACAAAAAGTACTGGTTCCTGTCCAGTGTTACACAAAAAAAACATATCAAGTAAGAGCAAGGAGTACTGGTTCCTGTCCAGTGTTACACACAAAAAAAAACATATCAAGTAAGAGCAAGGAGTACTGGTTCCTGTCTGGCATTGCTAAGAAAAGCATATCAAATCAGAACCAAAAGTACTGGTTCCTGTCCTGCATTATTCAGAAACAACATATCAAATCAGAACAGAGTACTGTTCCTGCATTACTCAGATGCCAAAGATACAAAAAAAACTAAGTGAGTACATAAAAAAGAAAATTAGAAAAAATAAAAACCACATAAAGTAAGCACAAAAATGACCATTTCTTCTTTAGATAATCCACAAATCTGGAAAGAGAGAATGAAAACTACAGCAAGACAGTACAAATAATCATTGTTCCTACTTTGCCAGATCTAAAAAGTGAGAAAAATCAAAATCACACAAGGAGCCTACAGAGTAAACAGGCCCAACTATCAAGAAACCAAGAAAAGATGAACTATTATAAAAAGATACACTATTCCTACTTTACCCAGACTTCAAATCTACAAATAAAAATAACATCTGAAAGCACTGCATAATCCTCTGTTTCAAAGTGCTTAATTGAGATCTTGTACTTGTAAACCTTAAGAGGAAATAAAAAATAAACCTTTACTCAGGTCTATACACTACTCAGACAATTGCCAATTAAATTTCTTTTAAAAAAAGTTGTTTACTTTGAAGAACTTGTGTGTGTTCTATCTATGTATATGTTGTTCTTACAAGAGTTCTGTGATTTTGCTTTAATTTCTTTTGTATATACCAAAATGCAAAAAGTTGTTTTGTGTAATAGAAAATAGCATTAAGAAAAGATATGATTTGTGCAACTTCATTTTATTGTGTATGGTCTCTTCAGCTAAACCAAGAAATGATGTTTGTCAGGCCTGGATTACTTGCCCTTGGGCATAAAGCTCCATGATATGCGACACTTTGTTCCACCCAAAACCAACAAACCGCCTGTCATACTCAGGGATATCCCTGGGAACAACAACATAAGGCTCAAAATCAGGTTCCCAAAGGACTCGATACGGAGTGGTAGCTGTCCTCCATTTGGCATAGTTGGTTGGTCCATGACCACGGGTCCATACATGATACCTGTAAGATGTGATCAACAAAGAATTAATAATGTTAAAATAAGTATAATGTTGCACGTTCAAATTAAATTATGCATTAATTATTAGCAATAAAGCAAATTACTTTGCATCGGTTTATGTTTGTAATTACATGTACTTTTAACAATTGGGTTATATTTTAGGTTTAGGCTTTTGTTAAATTTCGAAATAGTTGTTACAAAGAACTTAGAGGTATCACAATGCTCTCAATTACCAGTTTAAGAATTTTTTCTATTACTATAATTGTTCAAACAAAAGAATAAACCCACACTTCTTTAATGTTCTACAAAACAAAATCCATTCCTAATTTCAGTATATAGATACTTTCTGAGGGATGCTAGCATCAACAGCATTTCAAATACACTCTCATCAAGCACAGAAAACATTAAATGCTTGAATATTATCATTATCTATTCAGAAAAAGAAAATAAAGTTCATTTTAAACAGAATTCTGCAGATCAAGGTTTGGAAATAGGTTGTTTTTTTAAGAATAAGGTATTTACATGTGTAGGAATGGGCAGATTAGACATACCTAAAAGTGAAAAGTGTACCCATGTCCAACATTGATAAAAGTTCAGCTTTGGATTTTGGAAAAGACAATCGGTATCGCTGGGTTTCAAAAGCAGGGACAATGAGAGCCTAATAAAATTACCAGTTAATAATACTGTTGGAATAAAATGCAATTATGAAACTACAATGTTACTGTAGTTACACTGTGTAAACTGATACTATTGGCTAATAACACTACTATTTGAAGGAACAGTAAACAACAAAAATATTCAGACATTCAAAATTAGTCAAACTTGGTACCTGAATACATAATAAGTAATACTGTTTCTAGATATTAAAGAACTTCCACTGAGTAGTATTAGATAATAACCTTCTAATTACAACAAACTTTATCTTAGCTTCTTTTAAAGAAATATTGATACAACAATTTAAGTATGAAAATGATGTTCAGCAAAATACTTAAGTGGTTACAATATGTTCTTATAATTGTATCTTCAACTTTACAACAAATTAGTAAATGTATGTACCAATTTCATGGATATATTTAGCTGGCCTATTTATATTTATCTAGCATCCACAAAAACATAAAAAATACATTAAAGTTTCTACATGTTTAAACTTTCACTGTTTAATACTTAAGGTAGAAGTAAATATGGATATCATCAACATCAGTTGGTTTTTCATGTCAAACTACAACTATTAAGAAAGCATGGGACAAAACTGATACAACATTCAAGCTGATTTATCGTCTCCAACACATTTAATTACAGCTCATAGAGAAACAAATAAAAAAAACAATTGCATTAGGAACCAGCTTAAAAACTGTCAGAATATATTTCCCATTGTCATCAAAATTAATGGTAATTACTGAATGTTAAACTTAACTCATTGTTTCTCCACATCTTTTGGTAACTTAAGACAGCATCAGTCAGTGAAATATTGAAACTCACAGTTAGAAGTTAAATAAGAAAAGAGATAACTATATACATACATACAAGAGATGCCAAAGATCAACTCAAGATAACAACTGTATATAACCAAATGATAGAGTAAAGTTTGGATGCATTTCAATATTGACCTTTGACAAACTCTCATATTATAATCCTTATTCAGTGTGTGTATCTTTTTTCCTCTTAAAGTTTTATATATATATATATATATAA